GTGCCATTGTTGGAGGCATATTTACAGGTATTGCACCTTTCAATCATTTTGCTTTCTAAAGTGTAAACATTTACTATCTTACTCTTTCTAAAGTCTGCATGCCTAGTAATGAATCCCTGTTTGATGAAGGGAGATGAGTTCAGCCTTGGGGAAGCGATACAGCATGTTCTGCAGAGCATCAGACTAGTTTGCACTGGAGGCTTACAAGATCCTGTAGATGATGAAGTCCTATTACAGCATCTCATTTCATTAGACCTGTAGGCCTGTCATAATATCTCATTTTGATGCTCTACAGGACATCAAACATCTTTTCAAACAAAGCTGTTCTTCACTGACCATATGAAAGTGTCTGTACTTGCATATTTGGCTACCTTGGGTCTGTAAGCAGATAGTTGTTTTCATGTGGAGCCAAAGCCAGTAAAATCTGTGAACCCAGGTTGCTATGGGCATAATATATATCCTGAGTGAGTCCCTCCACTTCACCCTCAGTGCTGGCATCTGGAATAGCTAATCAGTATCTCCTTAACTCTGTGCATGGGAGCAACCTTGGTCCAGCCATGCTTTGCAGGTAGTAATCCAGGGTGCTCTAGTCAGAGATGTGGGTGTTAAGGGCCAGTCTGAAGATGTGGTCAGGGACCTGAGAACCTAGTTTCTGTGTCACATAACATCTGTATCACATACCTAAAACATCATACCTTTATCTGCAAGGTTTTCCCATCATCTGAGGTGCCACAGTGCTCAATTGACCTGATATTGTTAAATAAAATTTCTGTCTGCAATAAATTTTATCCTGTGCATCTCTCTGATTTGAAAAGTCATTAAAAAAGTACTTTCATGACAAATTCAAATGCCCTTTAGCACTGACTGAGTTTGGCAGCCAATTCATGTTTGCTACCATACACCACATTCAGACTCTGTATTCTAGAGATCAAATCAACTGGTGGCCAATAAGACCAATTCCTTGTACCAGCAGTTCAAGTGTGGCCAACAGGATCAGGGGGTGAATGTCCCTGACTGCTCATGGGTGATGCACCTTGAATACTGGGTTCAGTTCTGAACCCTTCATGATGAGCAAGACATTGAGGTGCTGCAGCAAGTCCAGAGAAGGAAATGGAGCTGGGGAAGGAGCTGGCACGTAGGTCTGATGAGGAGCAGGTGGGGGTGCTCAGCCTGGAGGAAAAGAAGCTCAAGAGGGACCTTCTTGCTCTCTTCAACTACATGAAAGGAGGTTGGAGCCAGGTGAGGGTCAATCTCTTCTTCTGACAGGGACAGGACGAAAGCAAATGGCCTCAAGTTGCACCAGGGGAGGTTTAGAATGCATATAAGGGAAAAAATTATCGTGGAAAGGGTTGTCCAGCCATGGCACAGGCTGCCCAGGGTAGTGGTAGAGTCAGCCTCCCTGAAGGAATCTAAAAGGACATGTAGATGTGACACTTAGAGATGTGTTTTAGCAGTGGGCTTGGCAGTGCTGGGGGCAATTGGACACTATGACCTTAGAGGTCTTTTCCAACCTAGATTATTCTATGGTATTCTAAAGTCACCTCTGTAACAGTGTTCATGTAACAGTATCAAATTGATTCCACAAGTAGAGATAATTTCAAGGCAAAACAACCACACAAGAGTCATCTGAAGCATTATTCAAAGACCAAATATTAAGTCAAATAATTCCATATTATATAGTAATAAACAGAAGATTCAATTCCCGTTTTAGCTGCAATGCTTTGTATCATGTTGAAATGTATGTCTTTGTATACAGACAAGTAATCATTTACTTATTCCTTTAATTGAGGTTTTGAATAAAAGAAAGAATATGAAGCTTTATAAAATTGAATTATTAAAAAAAGGCTCCCTAGCAACCTTTGTGTTCACTCCCTGGCAGGAGCTCAAGGTTCCTGTCCTATGAAAATCTTGGTTATCTCAGGTTTGTGATACAGTAGACCGATTCTGAGTTTTTCTGTGGTCACAAACAAGCACTGACCTAATAGGCTTCTTCACAGCTGGAGAGGTTTTTGGGGAAAATACTGCAGAAAGAATTAAAGGCAGTGGTTTATATTGCTTTGTGTCTGGTGGGTGTACATTGCTGTGTCCAATACAGGGCGTCCATCAAGGGCAGCATATGGTACTTTTAAGGTTGCTGTGAAATGAGCAAGAAATAGGAAACATGCCCTTTTTTGCAAACTGAGTCAAGGCAACAATATGGCATAAAGCTCTCCACATCAGTTTCCTCTCCAGACTCTTCTCAGTCATCAGTAAACACACATGGCTCAGCCTGTCGCTTACTTCTGAAACAAGGATCTTTTCTGGAGAAGTATGATCACTTCTGTCCTGCAGGCTGAGTCTTGTCTGACCTGAGGAGTTGAGGACTTTACTGTTCTGAGCAGCAGCAGCAGCAGCAGAACGTTTTTCTGTCTGGTGGACCTGGGATTCCTTTCCAGAGGATTCCTTTCCTCTGACAGCAGGGTTTGTGTTTTCTTTCCCTGGGAGTTGTTCTCTGTTTGAGGCATGTCTGACTTCATCCTTTTGGTTTTTTTCCTTTTAGTTGCAGGTTTCATTGACTCCTTGATCTATCACTCAGCACGTGCCATCCAGAAGAAAATTGATCTTGGGAAGACAACATAAATAAGCAATGGCATCGGCCCATTTAAAGACAAACAAACAAACAAAACCAAAAACAAACAAATAACCCCACCCCTCCAGCCTCCAAGAAGAATTAAACAGGCTCTTTGAAACACAAGTGATCTTCTGAGAGTGCACAGGAGAACAGGTTTGGAATTTCCAGATGCCCCTAACCACTCATATATTACTGTGCCCTCATTCTTTGGCCTTAGTTTGTGGATGGAACAACTTGAACCTTGCTGCTATAAAGATCAGCTATGGTATCTTGCTCTGCAGACCCTAGGGTCAAACTCCATTTGTGTCAGTCCATGTTCCTCCAGTTCTGTTCCCCTTTCCATCAGAGATGCTGGAGATACTGCATTCTGTTTGCCTCTAGGAATAATGTACTTTATTGTCAAGAGACCTGTAATGGATTGAAGTTACCATCAAATAAGCTTTCTACCAACACCATCAGGGGTTTTAAATTTCTCTTTACAATGTTTCGGGTGTGCTGATGCTGTATATCAGACCTCCGTGAAAATGTGCTGAATCCCATCTATTGCCATACAACCATCCTGGGCTGCATGGGGAGCTTGAGCATTTGGGATGTGCTTTCTGTGCTGGGGGAGTTTCCAGCTGTTCTTCTTATGAAAGATGCAGGTTGATGTTTCAGCAAAAAAAAAAAAAAAAAAAGAAAGGGGGGTCTGGAATTTTAATTGATTTTTTAATTGGACTTTTTTTTCATTTCCCATTGGTGTATATTTTCAAATAAAGTCCATCCTCTGTTGTGCTGGTAAGGCATATGGAGAAATAATTAAATTATTTGAACTAATCCTGATATTGAATTGGAAATTAGAATTAAAAGGCATGTTGCATTGTGGCAAAGTACATAGATATTATGATGATGATGGGCTTTTTTCTGTTAAATCATCTACACAAATGAGTAAAGTGCTTGGTATGTGAAGCTATATTGGGAGAAATTTGAAAACAGTGAGGAAAGAAAATTGTGAATTCTTGTCTTATTTGATACAAACCAGATTGATTACTCTTAAATCTCAGATCTGAATTTGCTTTGGTACGACTCTAACCTTGGTCCAAGCAATTGGACAGGCACATGATCAGATACTGCAGAGAGAAAGCTGTTCTGTAATTTATTTTGAAGTTGGTTTTGCTAGGTGGTTGGTTCTTGTAATTAGTTGAACTTACCTATAAACCAGGGAGTCTAAAAACTGCTTCAGTTTTTTCTGTTTTTTCAGCTGGGGAGAGAAGCAATTTGTGGTGTGGGTAAGCAGAATTATTATCTTCAAGCAAGAATGTTGAAAATCAGATTTGTTTTAAATGTATTTTTTACAAGTATATTTAATTAATCCAGTGGGTCAGGATCACATAGTACTACTACAACATGAAGAAGGGAACATAGTATTGGTATGTTTCATCAGGAGCAAAAAGTGACCTGAACAGCTTCAACTGCTCGTCAGTGCACTGAGCTTTGTAACTAAACTTATAAAAATAGTCAGGAGAGAGAAGATGAATGGAAGTAATGCAGCAAGAGTTTAACCCACAGTAAAACAGTTACCACTGTTACCTATCAAGGACTGGCTTGTCCTTCACAGGAAAGCCAATTGCTTGTAAACTGGAAAAGCATTGGAGATCCTTGCCCAGAGCACACCTGAGCACCTAAAGAAAGGTGAAGGGAAGGTGAAAGTGCCATACTTGTACTCATCATGGGAAACTGGAAATAGTGGAGAGAAGAAATCAGACAGAAATGGAGATTCTACCTGGAGAGGCAGAAAATTAATGAAGCTAATAGTTAAGTAATACAGGCTTCTGCTGTCAGTTGGAAGGATATGAGTACAGGAGTTCTGGTGATTTTAATAGACTGAACTGAACGCCCAAGTAACTAAGAACCGTGATAAAGCTGAGTCTGAATCAAGGGTGTTAGTGATTGAAAGTGATAAAAGACATCCAGCTAGCCCTGCTCTGGAGGAGAAAAACTTCCTTTGGGGAGCTCAGTCCCCACGGTCTGCAGTCTTGTTCTGCAGGGGGGTCATGTTCCGCAGGGGTGCTCTTTTCAGAGTTGTAAGGGGTCAAAAAGCAAAGGAAATTGTGGTTCACATGTGTATTCAACATAAGATCATTTCAGATTTATTTGATTCTGTTGTCATCTGTCACCATGTTTGATTTTTCCCTTCTTAGTCTTCCTTGATGCATTTAAAAAATATTCCCTTAGTTAAAGGCTGTAAGAATAAAAGTCTTAGTAAAAGACTGAGCTAGTGAGGGGGGCATCTTCCTTTCCTAAGGGCAACTACAAACCTCCCCCAAAAGCCATCTGTGGGTGGAAATACCATCTCTGTCATGCGGACAGCCACGTTTGAGCAGCCACTGTTCACTACTGGCTTCACAGCCCTGCAGATCCACACACTCTATGCCCACCTCCAGCCCCAACATCTCCCCTTTGTCCCTCCCAACCAGGATGGGCAGAACTGTGCCCACCCCATGTCCAGCTAAATGCAACATCGCTGCTGCCATGGGAGAAGGGCACCTACAGTACCCAGCTGATAGGACCAGCACAAGCAGTACTGAAACCCTGTGAAATGCAGTGCCCTTTGGCCCCTTCCTGGCCAAACAGCCTGGCTCCAGTTTCTTGGAAATGCATCACTTGTAGGATACAATCCTGCCTTCATGTGCCCATCTCTTGATGAGGCTGAATTCAACATGAGTGTCATGGACTCTTGTCCTGCGAAAGGCTCTAGACGAACAGGTTTTTTCCCAGTAGTGGTGCCAGTTCCCTTCACTGTCTGCTCTGAAGCCAATCATGCAGACCTGTGCACATGCCAGCAAGAGCCTATGCTGTGCGGACACTGGGGAATCCTGCAAGCGTATGGACTAGCAGTGCAGGGGAGGTACACTGGCAGCATCTGGTACTACTGGCTGTGCTCACCTGCTGGCAGGTGTTCAAGGCAAAGAGCAGGTCTGTGAAGCCAGTGTAGGGGTACCGCCCATGATGCTATGTCCAGTTGTCATGGATGTACTTGAGGAGAGCTGGACTCAGGATCAGCACCTAAGTGGGGAGTGGAGTGATCAGGTGCTCTCCATGCTGGGACAGAACAGCCAGCCCAGCACAGTGCAGCCGATGGCTCTCTGCCCAGCAGACTTCTGCCTGCACCTGTGGAGCTGGAGTCCACAGAGCCATTACCTTGTTCCTATCAGCTTTGATGAACTGTTTAACTCTCATGTGCTGCAAAAGCAGAGGCAAGCAGTGATTATGTAGTACGCTCGCTGCTGAGGGGGTGCATTTCTTTGCAGAGGGTATCTGTTGTCTGCCAGCACCCAGCCCAGTGGCATCCCCCGCCCCTTGGGCTGGCTGTAGGAAGGAACACGTCAAGCCCCCCCTGCTGTGGGGACAGCTACCATCCCACTCATAGGGGTATGTTACTGCAGATTGACAGGTCAATGCCCAACTACCTCGAAGTGCAGGGCAGAGGAATGCCTAGTACCCTTTGAGCCATCAGGACTAATGCCAGGTCTCCAGTGAGGCACCAGAACCCCCAGACCACACTGCACCATCCACAGGGTTTCCAGCACAAGAAACACCATCCCCCAAAGCTGACATACCGTGTAAGTTCTCTGGTGGAGCAGGCACTGGTCATCCACTGCAGGTCCAGAGGTTAGAAGGGGACATGGACCAAGTGGACATTGGGCCTGAGCTTCACTGCACTCTCTGGGTACATGAAGTGATGGGTTGTTCTCATGCCAACATCCAGCTCAAAGCCAGTGACCTTTGCTCTGTTCATCCTAAAGGATAGCAGGATGGTGTGTCCCAAAACAAAGTACATGGTCTGCTGGTCCCAGGCTCTTGGTCCCACCAGGCAGGGACAGCAGGTCACCCTAGCCAGCAGCAAAGATTGGACATGAGTGACACAAAGATAAGCCAGCCACCTCCCCATCACAGGGTTTGAGTTGGCAGATTTCAACTATGAGCATGCCAGGGTTCTGGGAAGACAGGGAGAGACCAAGTCCCTTTAGGTCACCCACCTCAGCACCCAGTCATGAGCATCGATTAGCAGCCCATGGCTGGACCTTTTCAGCCACTCCGAGTTTCCCACCACCTCACAAGTCCTGCAGCGAGATGGGATCCACACTTCAGCTGTCAGGGCCCAGAGGACATTGAAGAACTGCAGAATTATAGCCTGGAGGTGGGCACCACTTGAGGGACCATGCAGGGTCTAGAGGAGCAGTCATAGTGACATGCAGCATCAGGACTTCCACTAGTAAACCAAAGGGAGACAGAGCCCCATTTTTCCTAGCAGAGACCTGGGAAAGGACAGAAAAAACAGATGAGATATTAGGCAAAGGGTGCAAAACAGCCCAAGGGGCAGGGTACAAGGTGGAGGAAGGGCTGAGCTGAGATCTTTGCATCCATTTATCTCCATCATACCTGGGAAGACCCACAAGCTCCTGCCCATTGCCTCGCTTACCAGCCACCACTGAAGCACATCTGAGGAGAGCTCGTGGTCTGCATCCATCAGCAGAGGCCCTGTGGCTGCCTTGTTGAACAATGCAGAGCTGTTGGTAGGGCTGGTGCAGTGGGCAGGCAGGAGGGGTGTGAAGGAGGGAGGAAACCTAACAGACAGGACCAGTACCATCTGTGAGGGCTCAGAAACACTGCCACAGGACCAGCAGCAGGCACGGGACCAGCACCACCTTTGTGTACATCTGGAACAGCATCCCATGTGCCACCTGCAGTGATATGGCACAAAGAACAGTGGCAGCAATGCCACAGGATGCCTTCTCACCTACCCTCTCTGCCCAGCCTCCTGGGACACCTCTTAGATGCTCACCCACTGTGAGGGAACTGAAATAGCCCAATATTTTTTTCCTTTTCTAACTATTCAATGACATTATTTCTGTGTTCTGCTGTTGCCACTGCCACCAGTTACTTCAGGCCAGACAGGGCTGCCTGGCAGTGTGTGCTGTACAAGAAACTGCTCTCTGCCTGCAACACTTTGAGGGTCTGCAAACTGACCTGTGAACAAGCAGCAAGGCATCATCACCCAGCCATGGGTCAAACACCAGCTTTCCCATCCAGAGTGGTGTACATTCACCTACCAAGTGCACAATGTGAACCCTCCTCCCCATCCATGAGGAAAAGGCTCCAGAGCCTCTGTGTCCTGAGCCCATGTAGGCACCATGCAGCTCCCACCCTAGTGGTCCTGGTGCTCTGCAGCAATAATAATTGACTAACAAAGAGAAAGGTGACAGATAAGAAAAAAAAAATAGTAATTAACTGCTAGATGCCAAACTGTTGAAATTCTGAACACCACGGGAACAGAGATCTGAAAAGCTGGAAGTTCACATTTCTAAAATGGTGCCCACCAGAGAAGGGGAAGATGGCATCACACCCTTCCCTTCCCAGATGGCACCCTCCATCCGACTGCATGTCCCCAGGAGCAAAGAGACAGTATGGAAGCAGCCCCTCCTGGGAAGGCAGGAGCTACATAGCAGCTCCAGAGGTGGATCAAAACTCTCCAGCTCATGTGGCAAGCTGCTGCTTCCCCCTGCTGTTCACTGCCTGTGCTGGTGCTGCGCTCTGCTATGCGGCTGGCAGTGGTGGGGAGCGAAGGACCTGAACAGCACTGCCATGGGGTGGTCCGACGCCAGGAACTCGCTCACTGTTTCTCTTGCAGGCAGAATTTTCCAATTCGAAACAGTTTCTAGTTCAGTCTTTACAAGCGGCTACAGTTGCAAACCCAAAGCTGACACGGAACAGAGAGACTGCTCCCCTAGTTCTGTCTCCTGGAGCGGGGCTCACTGGAGCAGCGCTGCTCACAGGGAGTCAGAGGCAGCCACCTGTGGAAAGGAAACGGCTAACTGAAGTGTCTGCACGACAAGGAAAAGAAATGAAAAGAGAACCCCAAGAAAACAAAAAATAAAAGAGGAAACTTCTGTGTCTCAGTTTGAAAGACAGGTGTCTGCTAGGGAAAACAAGGTCTTCTTTTGAAATGGAGACTGTAAACTTCCTTCTTCTGAATTAGTATAATTTTGAAATTAAGGGGGTCTCAGGCAAAGATACGGGGGTAGGAATAACAGTTCTTGACTAGTGTGTACAGCAAGGCAAACAGAACAAGCCCAGCTCTGGCATTAACAGCGAACAGAACAGGAGCCCAGTCCCAGCTCTCGGCCGCGGGCACTTTCCCTTGGTGCAGTTCCCGGCACAGCCGGCAGGGAGCGCTGGCGGCTCCCGGCGGGCAGGGGCGATGATCCGGGCGCGCCTGCAGGGGGCGCTGTGGCGCGGGCTCGGGCAGCGCGCGGTGCTGGCGGCGGGGCCCGGACGGGAGGGGATGGAGGAGAGAGGCTTTGCTCAGGAACCCTGGGGCAGGGTCGGCCCGTGCTCAGCAGGACGCTTGGAAACAGCGAACTGAAATGGCAGGGTGTCCTGGCAGGGCAGGGGTGCGGGGTCCAACAGCAGAAGAAGAGGCAGCTCCTGGCTGGGCTATGGCAGGGGTAGCAGTGACCTTCCTCCTCCGAAACCAAGAGCGAGAGAGAGCAACTGCCCCCCCCCTCCTTTTAGCTGCTTCTAATCTCGTGGTGTCCCCGTCCCCCACCTCCCCTAGAGAAACTCCCAAAAAAGTCAGGGAGGTTCCCCCTCCCCCATCTCATGTACTCAGACATCAGTGCTTCTTTAGCAAGTCAGTGGGAAAAATTTCACAGGCAACAAGAAAAAACAGCCCAAGCCCCAACACTCTGCTTAAGCAAGGACCAAATGGCCAGTGAAACAAATACCACATGGCCAAAGGGAAGCAAGTTCCTGAAAGCATCGATTTCAAAAGCGCCAGCAGTAGAACCCTGCCTCACCAAACGTTCCATCTGCAAGGTCTTAAAGAGGCAGTAAGAATTTTTGAGCACAGAAAGATATGTCATACAGTAACATTTTGAGTTACAACAGGGCAGCTATTTTTACTGTCAGGTTGATATAGACTAAAGATTTACCTAAGCTCCTTGATCATCCCCTACCCCAGGTTAGCTTGACCCTGCCACAGCCCATGGAACTGTCCAGCTGATGGAATGTGCTCAGGGTCTAACTGGCAAAACAGACATGACATGCTCAGCAATGGTCCCTTGGGATCTGCAGCCAACCTTGATGTTGCTCACAAGCGCACAAGCAGAGGGAGCTGTGAGAGGCCTCTGGTGCACTAGGCAGAGCCTGGGGGACTTGTTGCTTAGGTAGCTTGGTTTTTTTGCTAGCTTAAACAACAATTTTTTTTTCTCCCTTTGCCTGGCCTGGAGAGAAAGCAGCAGGAATCCTTCGGCAGCTTTTGGTTTGTTCTTTTCCTGAACTGTTCGGCTTCATTTTGGTCCGAGATCAGACAATCAACAGGAGACCATCAGCCAGGTCCTGTGGGAGCCGTGGGAACCACTCTGCTGGCTCCAGGCCTCAGGAAAAGATAAACCAGCAAGAGGAAGGACACCAAAATCCACCGGCTTCATCTGCTATGAGGCAGAGACCAATACCAGAGTTTCAACACGTGATGGTGGTGGGAAATGTGTTTGAGCATGGCTGAAAGAGCCAAGAGGGCTCTCTGGAGGTGTGCACTGGGTATGCTGGAGTGCATTGAGTTTGTTTGAATGGACCAGTGGCTGCTGGGGTGCACTGGGCACTGCTGGGGAGGACCAGGCACTATTTATGAAGGCAACATCCCACCCAATAGGCCCTGTGTAAAAACTGGGAGTGATGCAGCACTGTCACAGTCCAGGGCTTGGCTGTAGCCCCAAGCAGGCGCTGCATGACCTGAGCCTTTTGCAGCGTATTTTACCCCCACCTTGCAGCCCAAAGGTCCCCTAGAGAGAGAGAGGCCTCTCTTTTTGCCATTCTGAGGTCCCCATCCCATGGCTGAACCCTAGACTCACTGGGGGAACATCATGTCTGCCCCACAGTGACTTCTGACTTCATGTCCAGCCAGAGTCCTCACCTGCTTCACATCTAGCTGCCAGGCTCTGCCCAGAAATTTTTTCCCCAAAAGATACTCTATTCCTGCCCCATTCAAAGGTCATGAGGTAGGCACCTTTGCTATGAAACTGCACAGTCAGTTAAATCCTTTGGGAAAACTGTTGTCCCACTGAGCATCACCTGCACCTCTCACAAGGAGTCTGTCCTCTCAAAACCCTGGTAGAAACACCTCCACTGGGATCAGATGATGTCAGGGGTTGTCTGTGCAGATGACAGGAACCCTGGTGCACCAGAAACCATGCTGACAAGTGTTATTTAGTTTGCATCAGCCCAACACCAAGTACAGATGCACACTCATGACCCCATGTTGTCCCAGTGTCATCCTTGTTGCTGTACTACTCAGGAGGAAAGGCAAAAGGGTAGTAGTGAGGACTGCTGAACCAGGATCCGCCTGTACCCCACAAAGAAACAGGTTGTCTCCCACCTCCAGAAAGCAGCTAAAAAACATAAGTATCAGAGAGAATAGCCAAGGAGCTTTTATTCATGATGTAAACAAAGCTCACTTCTGCAGGTCCCCGTCTCTCTAGGCTGTCTCTGCACCTGCAGAGTTTCATTAAACTTTCTGATCATATCTTGATTCCTGCCACAATCACCCCTGTCTCTAAGTAGTCCTCTGCTGGAGAGCATTTATCCATTTATGATCTTCTCGCTGATGTATCCAGGCATGGTGTAGACCAAAAGAACCAAGAAGATTGTCAGGGCAGTGACAACAATCAGCATAATTATGTATCTCTTGTACCGCTTCCAGATAAAAAACACAAAGGTCTTAATGGGATTCACAAACCAGTTGAAAGTTGTTTTGGGCCGACTAGAACAGGAAGAGAAGAATAGATAAGGACAGGCTCGATCCACAGAGCACCACGTTGGCCCTTCTGCTTTGGTGTCCTGCTACCATCATGAATCACCAGCTCTTCCTGCTGCTTCCAGGTAGGATCAGCCCAGGGGCTGCAGTTAACTCACTGCCTGTGGAAATGCTAGAGACAACAGGACAGGATTCTTGGAACAGTGCCCCAGTGTCCCCAGGGTGAAACTGTCCTTCACCCTCATACACAAGGGATCCCTTCACGCAGACAGACCTGACCAAACAATGTTATGGCACAGCTGCCTTGAGTATCTTCCTGAGATCAGGCCAGGTGCTGCAGCCTCAAGAACTACCTCCACAGGACCCACTTGAGCTCTGGGAAGCCCTGGCAATCCTGGTCCTGCAGACCTCACTGCCCAGGGCCTCCTAACAAGCCAATACTCTTGGTTTCCATACAAACAGCTGCTGAGAACGCAGCACTGTCTGTGCATCCTAAAGGTGGTAATATAGATACTCACTTGGGCTTTTCCAGGGATTCAGGCCCTCTTCGGCCCAAGCCAACAGGACTTTTGTCAGCCTCCTCCACAGTCAGCAGCTGGAACTCCGCTTCCACCTTACCCTGGAGGGACAATATGTCTGAGCCACAGTTGAATGTGTTGCTTCACAGACCAGCCTGCTGACCACACATCCTGCCATAATTGGGTATTTTTCTCCCAATTCCACTTACAGATGGCTCAGAGCTTTTTTCTCCATTGGCTGCAGTTTTACCTCACAGCCAGTGGAAACTGTGGCCTGGTAAGAAACTAACTGTTTTGCAGACAAGGAACTGTATTTTAATGAACTACTCTACTACCTGATTTGTCTGCACCCTCCCACAGTGGCACTGAGCAAATTTCACCCTTGGGGACACACAGTGGTCCAGTAGTAGGGGTATCAGGAGCGAGTCTGTCCCTGGTCAGTTGTCAACTGCTTATCTTGGGCAGGCAGAGACCCAGGCTTCTGCTGCTGTCCTGACTGGCTGATGGGGAGATATATGCCTCTTGCTTTAAAGTAGGACTGAGCAAGGAGAACATGGTCTGGTGTGTTTCAGTGGGAGCACTAAATTCCTAAACAAAGACAGCTGCCCTCATGGAGCACTGCTCTATGGGAAGCTCAGAGAAATACATGAAGTCAGACATCCCTGCATGCCATGGCAGTTGGTTCTACAGGGTACACAAAGTGCGGGATTGGCATTAGATGGAAGAAGTCTTCAGGATCCTGCAAAAGCTGGGCTAC